AAGGGAAGGCGGGGAGGAGGGGCAGAAGATGAGAACCCGGGGAAAAGGCGGGGGAACAAGAAGGGAAGGCGGGGGAACAAGAAAGGGAAGGCGAGGAGGAGGGGCAGAAGATGAGAACGCGGGGAAAAGGCAGGGCAGGAGGCGACAAAGGAAGGGAACGTGGGGAAAAGGCGGGGGAACAAGAAGGGAAGGAGGGGAGAAGGCGGGGAGAAGGCGGGGAGAAGGCGGGGAGAAGGCGGATAAAAGGCGGGGAAAAGGCCGAAGGGAAGGCAGGGAGAAGGCGGGGAAAAGGTCGAAGGGAAGGCGGGGAGAAGGCAAAAGGGAAAGCGGGGAGAAGGCGAAAGGGAAGGCGGGGAGAAGGCGAAACGGGAAGACAATAACGTTGAAAAACAAAAAGCCAAATGGGAAGAAAGGGAGATGAGAGGAAAAATAGAGGAGGCACGAAGGAAAGACGACAAAGAAAAAGGTGTGACATGATAGGGAAGGTGGTAGGAAGGTCCGGGGAAGGCTACACACCCTCGCTTGTGGCTTGCTCGCTCCTCGCTCCTCGTTGGCTCGCTCCTCGTTGGCTCGCTCCTCGCTCGATCCCTCGTTGGCTCGTTCCTCGCTCGCTTGCTGGCTCCCTCCTCGCTTGCTCGCTCTATCTCGCTCGCCCTTTCTCTGACTATCTCCCTCGGTCACTCTCTCCCCCTCTCGCTCGCTCGCTCGCTCGCTTACTCTCCCTCCTCGCTCGCTCGACCGTTCGCTCGCTTCCTCCTCACTCCCTCCTCGCTCCCTCCTCGCTCGAGACAGCTAGCTCACTCTCCCTCCTCGCTCGCCAGCTCGCTCTCTCCCTCCTCGCTCGGTCCCTCCTCGTGCTCGCTCGCTCCTTCCTCGCTCGCTTCCTCCTCGCTCGCTATCGCTCGCTCGCTCTCTCCTTGCTCGTTCGCTTCCTCCTAGCTCGCTCACTCCCTCGTCGCTCGCTTCCTCGCTCTCATTCGCACGCTATGGTCTTACTCGCTCCCTCGTCGCTCGCTCCTTGCTCTCTTGCTCTCTTTCCTGCTCGCTCTCACTCGCGCGCTTACTCTCGCTCTCGCTCGCTCACTCTCACTCGCGCGCTTACTCTCGCTCTCGCTCGCTCGCTCTCACTCATGCGCTTACTCTCGCTCTCGATCGCTCGCTTCCTCGCTCGCTCGCTCCTTGCTCGCTTGCTGTCTTTGTCGCTTGTTCGACCGTTGTCTTTCCCGCTTGCTGTCTTTCCCGCTTGTTGGACTCTCAACCCTGTCTCTTATACACATCTAGATGTGTATAAGAGACAGGCTGCCTTCCCCCCGCCTTCCCTCCACCATCCGCCCGCCTTCACCCGACCTTCCCCCCGCCTTCACTCCGCCATACGCCCGCCTTCACCCGACCTTCCCCCCCCCCATCCGAACGCCTGTCCCAACAAAATCAAAAAGGAAAGAAAGAAATATAGAAGAAGAAGAAGAAAGAAAGAAAGAAAGAAAGAAAGAAAGAAAGAAAGGAATAAAGAAAGAAATCCTGATTCCGAAGGGGCGGCCACAGGGTACTGCAGGATCTGCAGTTACTATGAGCTAGGTTTAGATTGCACTTTTTTCTTTTTTACCCCGTGCTTAAAAGGATTTCCTTTTTGGAAAGTGCTGAACGATTGGGACGCTGGACCCGGTTTCCAACAGGTAGAGGGAGATATTATGTGCAGTTTATTTGTTAGTGGTCGAGCTTGGCTCGTAAGCGAATCTGGCTAAGGCTGCCGGGATAACTCCGGGTTGAATTGTTGAGGTCCCCGGCCTTGTCCCTATGTTTATTGCAAAAAAAGGTGTACGCTTTCCAAAAAAAAAAAAAAAAAAGAAAGAAAGAAAGAAAGAAAGAAAACGAAGAGAGAAGACAGAAAAAACAAGTCTTGGAGGAGAAAGAAACGAAAAGAACAAAATTAAATACAAAAAATAAAAGAACTTTTGTAGGCCTAAAGAAATCTTAATCTACCTCGAAGAAGACATCTTATCGGAACCTTCGCTCCGTTTTTAGATTACCATCTTAAGATTAGTGTTTTTAGAATAATCTTCTGGGCTGAGCGACAAGCTTTAGGCGCCGAAGGCAGTCAAGAAGGTGAGGGGGAAGGCGCCGAAGCCAGCGAACGGAGAAGGTGATGGGGAAGGCTGAAGGGAAGGCGGGGATAAGGCGGGGGAGAAGATGATGGGGAAGGCGGAAGGGAAGGCGGGGAGAAGGCGGGGGAACAAGAAAGGGATAGCGGGGAGGAGGGGCAGAAGATGAGAACGCGG